CATCAACAACGTGTTCCTCGAGGGAATCATCAACGAGGCGAAGGAGAGGAAGGAGAAAGAAAGACAGACGAAAGTGGTACCTATCCCTCCACCACGCAGCGCTAACCCCGAACCCCTGGCCAGTCCCGTCGCGGGACCCTTGCGCCCCCGCCCCGATACACCCGTCATCTTTCGCAAAGTCGACCCCGACTGGACACCCGACACCACTCAATGGACGTGGGACAGCTCCTGGCCGCGTCAGGAGCACCTCTCTGGCGAGGAATGGAAGAACGTGGGGAGGAACGCGCGCAAGGAGTGGTTCGACGAAGAGGAGGATGACGGCGTAGATTGGGAGTTATATGGAGATGGTGAGCAGTAAGTAGTCGAATGGGACTTCGACTCTGGCAGGGGGGTAATGAAACATTTGTCTTTCCGTTCTATTCCTTGTACTACTAGCGCCCATACTGGCGCCTGTCTTAGCACTCACCCGCAGGTTGAACATTATGTAGCTTACATAATGGGGTCCATGTGCACTTCATACCCGGTATCGTACCACTACGTTTCTTTCTTTACTAAACACGACCACACAGATACAATGGTCCGTGCGTAGCCGGTACTTGTATAAATAGCTGTACCATTAGTTGGTCAAACCCTAAGTTCGACCTGGTTATTCATTCAAGTCTCTGCTCCTCCTCGCTTGGGGTAGTGGTCATTCTCGACTTCCTTGCTCGATCTTCAGGACGACGCACTGTCCATAAGCCCTCGCTCGTCGTCTACGAGTCAGGCATCGATATAGGAGTATAGACCGTTGTATCAATCGCAACACTTATCTCTAGGGCAATGGCATGGTGGCTGATGCCTGGGTCAAATCGATGGCTCAGATCAGGTTCAAACAAATTGTTTTGTATCAAGGCTAAAGTACACTTGTGGCCAGGACAAAAGGTGTTTTGTTCCTGCCGCGCGCGAGGCGTAGGTTGAGCGTGGGCTAATAGAAGTTCTGGCTGTGTAGTATGTAATTATCACTTTCCAATTAGTTTCCCAATGAGTGCAGAATGTGTCAGGTCAGCCCACTCAACACCACAGGTCACAAATTCTAATAGTAGACACCATACTAAATCCCACCCCATGCCAACACTGCCCCCCCCCCTTGTTCTTAGGGAAGCTCATGAGCCCCAAACTGAACCTTCTGCCCTAATGCCCGAACCTTCAGCCAGTTTGCAGTTCAAAACTAGGTTCAGGACAGTCTCCTACCCAGTCTTATGTGGGTGGTTGAGGGGCTTTATCCTAGAAATTCAGAAAATGTTATGTTTTAAGACATATACCATATATAGTTATTATCTACATGTCATGTCATAAAAGATCCACCACCCAATCAACCTTATTCCCCTCAACCACCCACAGAAGACTGGCATGAAACATTTGTAAACAAATCAGCCACAGGTCTGCCGCTGTGGCGCGCATCGGCAAAAGAGGGCGGACTTTGAATATAACAAAACTAACCATAGCTGACCGCACGTGTACTGTCCACTTTGGGTAACACAGATATTGCAATCATATCGAACCCACAGGTGCATTGTGTTGCATCACTGATATAGTCCTTTGCGATGAAATCCGTGGTGTAACAACATGATTTAGGATAGTTCTGGTATGCAAATAAAAGCTGCAGAAAAGCCATGAGCAGCTCAGCTCTGATTGGGTGGTCTGGTGTATTCGGGTCCAATACAGAGAGGATTACATTGACGAGATGTGTTTAAGCCTTGTCAATGTATCTATAATGGCATCTAGATACTCAGATGGCACCATGTTCAACAGAATTTCACGCTAGCATAAGATGCGATGCGCCTGTGGGTTCGATATGATTGCAATATCCTTGTTACCCAAAGTGGACAGTACATGTGCGGTCAGCTATGGTTAGTTTTGTTATATTCGAAGTCCGCCCTCTTTTGCCGATGTGCGCCACAGCGGCAGACCTGTGGCTGATTTGTTTACAAATGTTTTGTGCCAGTCTTCTGTGGGTGGTTGAGGGGAATAAGGTTGATTGGGTGGTGGATCTTTTAACACGTGACATGTAGATAATAACTATATATGGTATATGTCTTAGAACATAACATTTTCCGAATTTCTAGGATAAAGCCCCTCAACCACCCACATAAGACTGGGTAGGAGACTGGGTTCAGGACCGAACTTCGGAGACGTTGAGCTGTATTCAAACCACAGTATACATCACAGTGGTCTGAGGTAAATGAACAACAAAGTGCTAAGTTCATGATGAGATCGCTAGCCTCCAATGTTCCAGCCACCGCACCAACTCGTTCGCCATCTGTCTACCTTCCTCGTGTCTCTTCCCAGTATCGCCCTCTTTCCGTTTCTTCTCCTTTGCGTGTCTTCCTTTGAGCCACGCTTCTTCGACGGCATCAGCCCACTCTCCCATCTCGTAGGATATCCGCGACAATTCGACACCAACCCCTTCCGTGGCGAGGAGTTGACGCAGGCCATGCTCCTCAATAAAAAGCGGCCGGGGCACTGTGCACAATAAGCACTGGTCAATTTCCCGCCGTCGAAGCCGAAAGATCAACCTACCGTACACGAACGGTGTGCATGCGTCCACACATTCGGACACTGTGCCGTAACCCTGGTAGGCCCTCAGCAAACGAGCGACTTGAGTTGCAGGGCCTGTGACGACTCACCAGTTTGCCCAGTAACACGTCCGCAACGGCCGTCAGATCTGGCATGTACACGTCACGGGGAGCGACGAAGAAGTTCTCTGGTAGCTCCTCGCCGTTTTCTGTCCCCCACTCTTTTGATACGCCGCATACAATCGCAATCCATGTGTCGTCAGGAAGTAGTCGAGGTTCCGGCTCCTCCAATCCCTCGTCGTCTTCGACAGCCCATTCGAATTGAGACGTAGGGCCGTTGTCCTCCCTTTCCCGTATGATTGTCTTGGGATCCGGGGACGGGGGCATTGTGGTGAACTCAAATTTTGGTGCGTCTATCATGGGCGGAGACATCGTTTTCTTCGACGGCGGAGAGGTGGGAATTGTACTAGGAGGGGCGCCAGGTATCTGGAGAACCGATTTTGCCCGCCCTCTTCTGAGCGCTGCTGGCGGCATAAGCCCAGGTGACGGATACACGCGATGTTCATGCCCGGTCAAAGAGATTGAGCGCAGAGCGACCGAGAGCGTGCTAGGATCAGGGAAATAGCCCTTTGACATGTCGGACGGCTTGGCATACGGCACGTCACGTAACTTTCCATTCAGCGATCTCGTCGCTGCAGCGGTAAACGGTCCAGGGGTGCTGGCGGCAGAGGGTGATCGACTGTGTATACGGCTCTGGGGTTTGTGGAAGACCTGCCCACCGAAAGAGACGATGAGGATCTTCGTGGCGCCAGAGTCATGCAAGTGACTGGGAACGCCGAGAGATCCCAACAGGTGAGAACGCCCGTCCCTTGTATACACAGAGGGGTTAGGCGAGCGTACTATGAGCGGAGCGGAGCGCATTTCCCGGCCCACTGGCTTGGGACCCAATTTGTTGGAGAACGGTATCTGGGGGTGCAAGGTATGTGTTGAGGGTGGGGCCATGAGGTGAGCGACGACGTCTGGCTTGAATACTTGGAATGCGGGGTCAACCCAGTCTGCGGAAGGTAATGAAGGCTCTATAGAGAATGATGGCATTGGTATGGCGCCTGGCAGCCGCAGGAGCAGATCCGCACAGCGGAATCCTTGAACAATCTGGCCAACGAGAGGAGAAAGTTCATCTAGGGGTATAGGCACGTCTGGAGGCAGCTTCGCGATTTGCATCTGTAGGCTGTCAGACTCCACGGGTGGCGGTGTCGTCACGGCATCTATGAGCGAGGTGGACAGGTAGCTGTATACCGAGTCGAAGGAGAAGTTCGTTATCAATACAGAAGGTATGCCTGCCTCGTGCGCGGAAAGACTAGTGGTGTTATCAGTGCATGGAATTTGGGCGCATATATGCACACGCACCAGCCGAGAAACGCGGCGTCACTGAGGACGCAGTCGGCGCCTATAGATTTGAGCCACTGAGATTCGTCGGAGACCTTGTGATCTTTTTTGAGAAGGAAAGACCTCAAGACTTCAATACTCTTCCGGCGGTCAACGCGGTACCTACCAGACATATACGAGTGAGCCTAACATACAATTGTAAGACCACAGCTTACGCTAAAGGCTGCACGATTACTGGGTCTATGTCCGCATAACGATATAGAGCTACCTGAGAGTCAGAAAGGTTCGAGGCGACAAAATGCCACGTACCTCCTAAGGCTATACTGTCGGAAAATACATGTTTGGGGGCGGAAGAGACGATGTGTACAACAGGTCGTGGCTGTAGTCTAAGTAAATGACACGCGAACGCAGAGACTCGGGTGGCATGTCCATATCCTGCGCTGGTAGGATCAATGATAATTTGTGGATGATCTGTGACAGTCTACTCACCATGTCCGGAACAATAGTACACAAAATAATATCCGATAGAGTCATTGTGCATTATAGGAGCTATAGTCTGAGCGTACCAAGGTCCGCTTGTATAAATTAACAACAAGTCCGAATGTCAAACCTGGTGCAGGAAGCGCCTGAGGGCTCTCTCTTCGGTCGTCTGCCGTCACGGATACAGATCCAAAGCCCCGTGTATTTGTTCAAGGGTGTAGGAAGGACGACCGGCCAGTAGCGCGACAGAAGAGGGTCCTGGAAGGGAACGGACAAGTTGCGAGCAAGTTCAACGACGCTGTGGAGTTGGCGCCCATAATGCTCGATCACATTGATCGAGAGCCCGACGTCCTCTTGTCAACGACCGCGACGTCGAGCAGCCCCTTTGGACCGGCATGCAACCGTTGGAACGAAGCCCAGTCTTCAGATGTGTGAGACTCTCGTAGCTATCCTGCTCGTAACATCCTCTGCCAAAGGCTCCAATCTCGTCTACCGGTGGCCCCCTTGTCCCGAGTCTGCTCCCAGGCTTGCTCGTCCCAGACCAAACCACGACATCACATGCGCTTACGGGGATGATCCATGGAGAGCCGCCAACGCCTCTGATAGCACCAACGAAGGCCAAAAGGTCTGCCCGGCTTCGGTCCTGCGTGGTGACGAGGAGGGCTATATCTGGCGAAGACCAAATGCCTCTCGCCGAAGGTCCGTCTCGCATTCTCGCTCTCATGCCACTTCGAGACGACCCTCTCCATCAAGGTCCTCGCTAGATGGGGCTGCGCAAGATGGGCCCGCTATTCTCCCTGCAGATGATGATTATGACAGTGTGCTCGGCTACCACGGGGAGTTCCTCGCCGGATTACTGTGCCCAAACGACTCCATATGTCACCAGAAGTTCGGCCTCATGGTGGATGATCTCGCCTGTATAGGCCATCCTGTTTGTGCTGAGCCAGACGGCTCATGGCGCTTCAAGCCAGAAAAGACCAAGGTGGCTCCACGGGGGAGAGGTTCCAAAAAGGGCGAAACGCCCCAACTCGCAGAACATTCACTTACCCCAGAACGATCTGAGACCAGCAAGCCTTCGGCAGATGGTGCTTTCTGGCTACGAACGTTCCATCTCGCTTTCGTTCTCGACCGTCCCGATCCGTCTTCGTCCTCTTCTGGGGCAGTGTACAAATACTTCAATGTGGTCTATGAGCATATAGCATTCACAGTTACTGCCGTTCTATATCAAGAGCAGGTCTTGTACAACTTCGTCGAGAATGAGTGTGATGCGCTAGGCACGCTGAGGGACGAGTACATGGGGAGAGGTTCGTCACACTGTTTGTGCACGTCAGTGCATGCATTGACATAGGCTACAGGCAACTCGTTCATGGATTACATGGCTGCGGCGCTTAAAATGTCATCACTTGCTTCGGCCATGAAAAGTCTTTACGAAGCAATTAAGGACCGTTCGATTGCTCGCATCACCATCCACGATTTGCCTCTCGAACTACAACTCCCGTCATATACAGATTCTCTGCTGCATCCAGAGAATGTGTTTGGCATAGGAAACATTTATCGCAAAGACGACGACGGGTTCGCTGATATATGGGGCGACTCAAGCCCTTCCAATAACTCGATCGCACTGCATCCTTGGAAAGCGCTTTTGCGACTAGATGACGAGGATGAGGACCCATACATGAGGACACCGCAGTTATCCGCTGAGGATAGCGAACTCGCAGAGCAGTTGTTCAAATTCATGGATCTGGCATCCATCAGCCTCTCGTGAGTAGCGCGATGTTGGCTGCACGAGGCGCTAACATGTGCTACGAGCAGGCTTGCGGACATGGCCAGTTTGCTAGACTGGGATCTAGAGTCTCAAGTATACCCGATTGTGCGATGGTTAGTGCATCACCGGCGGGCAAAACTGGTCGACATCGTACACCACGGCTTGAAAACAGTATTTGCGATTCCTCAGAAGCTGGGCGCGCCGTAAGTTCAATCGCGTTCATTGCAACTACATGACTGAGTAATTTGGATCGGAAGCGCAGACTAGCCGAATTGTCCAGTGAATTTGACCGGGCATTTGCCATTTCCAATGTCCCACCTTTGCCACGCATACTATCTATGGTTTCGATGGCCACGCACCAGCAGACCGCAAACCACTTTTATGCAACCGTCGTCGGGTCCAAGGAGCTCATACCCTTGTATCAAGAAGTAGTCGTATGGATGCTAAAGCGCGACCTCCTGATCACTCTCCACTTGCGCATTCGTATCGTGGCTACAGAAGACCTCAAGGACAGAGTCCGGATGAAGTTCGAGATGGCGCGAGCGAAGCGGGACCGCATCCGCGCTCGCTCACAAAGTGCGGACCACGACACGGAGACGGGCTCTTCGGACACACCAAGGCAGGCGGATCACCTCGAAGTGGCCTCCAGCTATGGTACCGCCTCTGGCTCAAGCATCGGGACGAACTGGCTGTCACTGTCGCCGAAGAGCGCGCGCAAGCAGGCGCAATTGTTCTCCGCACGGGAGCACGGTGTTGATGCGACACATTCTGACAGCGCCGCGGAGAAGTGGAGGGGCGAATATGAGGATGAGTTTGGCTCGTCTGGGGAGGAGTTTGATCGGGAGGATTGGTATCGCAGCGTGGACAACAACCCATACTCATCCATCATCAGCGATCCTGCCCGTGCGACACGGCTGGAGAGCCTATGGCTGACAGAAATGTCGGAAGGAAAGGATCCAGCAATCGCGAGGCGCTTCGAAAAGTGCGTATAAATTCGTAGCATCCACTCTAGTGCCTGCTGACGCTTTGCCCAAAGAATAAACCAGTACTTCGATGGCAAATGCACGGACGATGAAATACTTTTCAGGGCTGAAATATCGCGCAAACAGCTGAGGGAAGTGCTCGGGTACTACGAAGAATACGTATGTAACTATCACTTACCGTATCAAACCCTGTTGAGGATGCCCTTATACAGCTGGAAACCTTCCTGCACCCGGCATAGCCATCCTCTGCCAGCATGCACTGTCGCATGCACAACTCAATCGTGTTTGAATTCTCAACAAGCTATTCCTCTCGGTAATTGTGTACCCACCCCAACAGACGTTCCGCCTTCGAACAGTCGACGAATCCCATCTTTCCGCTCAAATCCTTTCCTTCTTTGATAGGAACGTGAGGGTAGAATTGTTCCTTCAATACCAGTGTATCCTCGTCATGCGCAAGATCTGGCGCAGCAATGAAAAAGCGTTCATGTCCCGACCATTTGTCATTCTCCCCAAATACGGCCAGGAGGAACGCCTCCGCTCCGCAGTCCTCCTGGACGTATCCCCACAGGTCGTTCTTCCGTCTCACCGAGTCGTCACGCTTCGCGGCAGCGCGCGTCGGACACGACCAATGCAATCGAAGGCTGGCGACGCGCATGAACGGGTAGCGGCGGACGATGGTGTCGGCTTGCATCTCCGCAATTCTGCAGCATATATCAGCAGAAGATCGGAAGGACCACAGGCGGTCGTACAGCTTGGATAGGCCGTAGGGCTCGTCTGGCTCGCACGGGTGGTCTTCATCGATGGGGAAGTACTTGATATCCTGACGCAGACTGTACACAAGTTGAACCACATTCACGGACGATGCTTGCGCGACCCGCTTGATCCCCAGCTGTTGTTGAGTGTGCGTCAGACTCATAATTTCTCCCGGACGATAGAGTTGACCTCAGCAGCTGAGCGCAATATGTTCCAGTTGATTACGACGTTGCTTGTACAAATGCTTTAGCTATTGTAGACATGCTGCGGGACTGGCAGAGCGAGGTACCTGTTGTGCGTATTTGCGACATAATCACCCGGATTCGAACACGCCGCCAGCTGAACGATGGCATCGCATCCTTGAAAAGCATCCCGTGCAGCCTCATACTCCAGCAAATCGGCCTGTATGAAGCTGAAGCTAAGATTCGTTGAGAACTCTAAGTCCTTGGGAGCGACGTCAATGCCCACGACTGCATGCCCCTGTTTCAAAGCCGCTATCACGACGCGTTGGCCGACTCGACCAGTACAGCCGGTGACTGCGAGCTTCATCATCGTGAAAGTCTGTCAGTGAGCAGTGCGATGCAAGAAAAATGGCGGTATATCTGGAGATATAGCAGTATTTGAGAACGTGATTGTCGATACAGATGATAAGACTTGGCGATGTCGTCATGGGGTCATGCTGGTTGTCAGGAGACTCTCTTGATCAGTACGATAACAGCTGCATATATCCGCTAGATTGTTAACCTACGAGAGGTACTATGTAGGCAAGAACACATGTACTCCTTCCGACATTCTTGCGAGCGCCGTCAACGGTCTAGATAAGTAGACTCGATGGCCTCACTGCGTCATCGATTATGCTGCGCAGACTTGGACGGCCTTGCCGTACGAAAGATCGAATAATAAGGAAAAGTATCACACACTGGTCTTTGATTCTGCACACGACCCGTCCATCATGCGAGAATCTGATTACCGTGACCATGATTCCGGGTAACTCTCGTCTTCAAAAAGCTGTAAGACGAGATCATTACGATCAAGACTCGGAAGGTCGTAGTAGTACGCGAAGTATATCCTATAAATGACGCGTTACAGTAAAGACGTGTATCAGTCTGTACAAGTTGAAGTCGCGTGCCACAATCGCGTTTACCGCGTGCCACAGACGCGACAAGCGCCCAACGTCTCTGTCTTGATCTCCACCATGTCTCGTTGGCTTGTTCGCTTCGACGAATTGTAGCGACGATTATATGACCTTGACCCGGAAGGAGGATAGTGGCGATGCAGGCTATCTCGTACAGATCCTGAGCAACGCCTGCGCTATTGTGCGCGATGCTGATGCCGGCAGCACGCAAAGGGCTCACAGCATCACCCGGAACTGCGTTGCATTGGGGCGATGCGAATCTGTTTCACTTTGTCCCATTATTTTCTCTCACACGAATGCGGCTCCCCTCGTCGACGGTACCTTCCAGATGAGTCTTGGTACGTCTACGAGCGGTTCAGGTTCTCGCTGCATCTGGGGAATAAATGAATTGCGACCCTGTTCTTCATTACTATAATTTTAAGGCCGAAGACGATTTCTGGGAGCAGACAACATCATTCAAATCTGGCCTGTCGGAGCTCTCCCACACCATTGCTGTAGACGAGGGCAGGAAGCTACTATTTGCGGCAGACGAGTACAAATCCTACGGGTACAATCTTTCGCAACGAAGACTAGATGAACGACGAAGATGAAGATGATATGATCAGCGACCAGTGTTTCTGGCCTGAACGGGCGTTTCACGTAGATAATCACCTCAGCTGTTGCTTTGATGCTGGGTAACACTCTTTATGTGAGGTTCTTCTTAATGGTATTCGTGCGCAATCTAGCTGCGTCCTAGTCCGATACACTTTCAAGGTAAATGCTGATCTCCAAGGCGGATGCCTGCGTACGGATAGGATAGGCCCTTCCCCTCGCCGTGGTAAAACATCTGTTTCCGTCGTAGACTACTAGTGTTAAACCTGCCTGCCTTGCAAAATATAGGCACAAGGAGATTTTTATTTTATGAATGCCCGCGGCGGTATCTACGCATACTTCTCCGTATCGAATCAATTGAGACATTTGAGTAGTGACCCGTGTGCGATCAGGATGCCGTAACACCCGTAGACACTTGCGACGCGTTCAGTAGGCGTCTCGTGTAAACCACGATACACGTGGTACGCGATGCCATCTCAAATATCGTCTGAAATAAGTAATACTTTGTGGTGATTTTAGCCTTCCAATGCAATCGTACTTGCACTACCATGTCTTCATGGCTGTCTCGAATCGAAAATCTACAGCAATGCCTTGACGACTTTCGTTTCTCGACCAATGACTCGGCCAACGAACTCCTACAGCTTCTATGCGACATATGCACCGTTGTCCGCGAGGCCGACGCCAACGATGCAACAGATCTATCCGTTATTGTAGAGAGATCTCATGCCATACTCAACCATGGCATCGCTCTAGCATATGATCAAGAAGATCTTTTCGATTTTCTGCCGTCGTTTGCCCACAATGATGAATCTCCCGTCGTCGCCGACTCTCTTCAGATGCCGTTTGGTATGTGAACGTTAGTCACTATGTGAACAGGTCTTACCATGTCGTACAGGTCAGAGTACTGTCGATACTTTAGTTCCTCTATTTCAGGAGTGGTATTCGCGGATCAAGAGCGAGGACGGCACACAGAGTACGCTACCTATATCTGTCAAACGATGCGCAAGAATAGACTTGCGCTCTTACAGAACCCATACCCACGCTTCCTGGACCCGGAAGATGGGACGAGGCCTCTCAACCGCACGGAGAAACGACCCGTCTCTCTAGGTTTCGTCCTGACATCGCAGTAACTGTGACGCCCGACGCACGGCTAGCCACCGTCATTCATCAGGCTCGATGTGGAATTACTTGCGACCATATCTACTCTCCTTCAAACCTTGTCATCTCTCCGCGCTCGTCTTTTATGGCTGTAACTGCTGCCGGAGGCTGGAAGAATCTTGACCCTGTCGTACACTGGTATGATCTCGATAATCCAGGATACATGGACCAAAACACGTCGTTCCGACCTGCGCTATCGGATATTACCCATGCAGTGGCCACAGACGAAGACGAGAAGCTTCTATTCGTGGCCGACTCGCGCTGTATACAGGCTTATGAAGTAGGCTCGCGCTCAGTGGAGAATCCGGGGCACCCGTTGAAAGCGTTGTATACGCTCCAGTCAGATGGCTGCGATCGTGATGTGGCCATCATGCCTAACCGGCGGCTCGTACGTGCTGGAAAGGGAAGGGCATTTGTTTGGAATATCGATCTAACGCAAATGCTGGATGACAAACAGACTGGCGAGGGAACGCCGGACGCGGACAACCAACATGACGATCGTGCCAGCCCTTTAGTTTCAGTCGCTGTGTTTGCTGACTCTAATCTCATGCCTTCGTCCTGGCGTCTTCATGAACCCACTAGTTGGATGCTCTGTGGTGAAAGCGGACGCCTCGATCGTGCATATGGATGCTATGCGCTCGACTTAGAACATGGAGGCCAGGTCGCGTCACGGTTTCTCGGACATGGTGGCGACACAACGAGTTTCTCGACCAGCGAAGGCGACGCAAATCTATTCGCTACTGCTTGCAGCGACGGCTATGCTAGGCTGTATGATCTTCGTCATCCTCTACCCGTGATGACCTTTAACTCTGGCAAGCAAGCTGAGCCATGCTCGGACGTGGTGCTTGTTCACCCTGACGGCCTCCCGAGTACGTCCCAGAGTCCCCCGACCATCGCCTGCTTGTGCTGACCTTCTCGCTTGAATCGGTCAGGTTTGTTCACAGGGGGAGAAACCAGTCAACAGATTAAGATGTGGGATGTTCGCGCACGTGCTGCCATCTACGAGCTCTCTACAGGCAACAATGCGGTTGTGTCCATGGCATGGGATACCCGCAGCTCAAGTCTTTTTGCGGCAACGGAGTGTCAGTATATGGATCGTCTTGGGTACACACACGACTACAGAAAGGCGCGAATTCCCCCATGGGCAGACGACCGCGTTGGAGAGAATGAACTTGACGATGAGGAGGACCGGGGTTGGCCTATCAAAGCGTTCCATGGAGAGGACTTCTTCGGTTATTGCTTTGATGCCGGTGAACATACTCTCTGTGAGTGCGCAAATCCCTGTGAACAGTTTGCCAACTGACTTGGAGCTGAAGTCCGATATACCTTCAAACCTGACGAAGATCCTGGACCCAAAGAGCTGCCTGCCTTTGGACAGGCTTCGCTGTATCATACGTCATGGTAGACGCATGGCAATCGATTGTCGCATCTGCGAGGATTCAGTGTGAGCGCATCAGCTCAAGAGAGTACGACCAGTCAAGCAATCACATTCCCTCCTGCGAATAACGCTAAACACGGTGTAAGGAGCTTTAAGTTACGTTAATGAATCGTACTCCGAAGTTGGTTCTGCCAACCCAAATCCACCAGAAGCGCCTACACACACCACTACCATCTGGACCACTACGTCGACTGATTACGACTGGCAAGAATAGCCAAGAATAGCTTGGACCATGCTACCGCGGGAGAGGACACTGGGGAAGGATCATTGAGGATTTTGAGCGACACGTGCGCTGTGGTGTACGATGTGGACACCTTCCCCTTAACGACTCCTGGAAACCCCTCATCCGCTCCGACGCACCCTCCTCCCCTCTTCGAAACTGAACACGTTCCAACCTGCCTATATGACCACCTTGGACTTCGTATCTCATATGACTACTTTAGCCTACTTGCACATTACTATAGTACTGTCGGTCTCTGAAATGCTCACTACAAACTTCCTTTGTTTTTACACGTCTTTGTGCCCTTATATTTTGTGCATCGATATATATCTCATCAAGGAAACAGAAACGTTCAGAATGATGAGTTCATCTTCAAGTGGTGTTTTGTCACAGCCACAATTTACCAAAGTAGGCCGCTGTTTTCACGGCCCGCCAATTACCGCCCGAAGTCCGCTTACGCACGTATTGAGTTCAACAGGTCTAGATCTAACGATACTTATGGAATCAGCTGTAACTGCAACGCGGGCGTTCAGAACTGCGGTTCGCGCTTTATGTGGCGCACCCGACGTTATACTATGGCCGCTCCCCTTCGCAAGGTCTACATAGCCAGCTACGATGCCGGTGGATTGTTTCCTAACCACTGGGCTCTCTGGGTCCCCAGCGTCGCCGACGAGAACATCGGCACCATTATCCAGGTCGAGGGTGATCCCGCTACGGGCTTTCACCTCGAGTTTCAGAGATATTACGACAAGAGCGTCGAAGAGCGGAAGCACGCTCTCTTCGAAATCGCCGATGTCGAGCATCGGCATGTTGTCGACAGCGATGGACTCGGAGATGGGAAACCATTCATCGAGACTGTCGCCCACGACGCCATTGAGGAGCAGGCGGTTCTGATTGATCCACCTGCAAAGAGCCTCAAGTCAGCAGGGAATGAGGTTAGTTCGATCATTTGTCTTTCCCAGACATGCCGCTCTCAACTGCCCCCCTTCCTCAGAAGCAGGGCAGAGTCGAGATCAAGAACTGCCAGACCTGGCTAACTGAGCTGGTGAATGCGCTTGTGGCGCAGGGAATCTTTCCGGAGTCTGCTCTCACCAAGTTAGCTATGGTCCCAAAGGCGACAGAACGAAAGCAGCGCGTGCCACAGCTGGAATGAAGCCGAGGTCCTGTCGATTCTAGCGTCCTCTCGGGCGAATCCGCATCTACACATTCTGTGTCGCTGGTCTAGTACATGGCCGTCTCTTTCTTGTTCCTTCCTTCTGCCATGATAGTGGGATGCGAGAACGACATGGCTGGGCACAAGACCACTTACTCGCTGTTATAGCTACCTCAGGTCCGCGCTCGCAATGTAGTCATTCAACTCCAGATTTTCTTTCTATGACGTTTTGTATTTTCCTATACTATCAGGGACTTCGAATGTTTACGTGCCAACGTGTGTACGAGACAGAAGTCGTGTACTCTAAATGGTCCTCACATCGCCCCCAGTGTACAATCTTCTACCATCCATATCAAAGACATCTAGCAGTATCTGGACACAGCTATTGAACATAACTGCGGGCCGTCGTGCAGCATCTTGAACTGCTTCGTCTCCTTCGGTGAGGGTAACAAGAAGGTCGAGCAAGCGCGACTTTCTCAGCCACTATGCGATGTATCTCAAACTCTAAACTTCTGTGCGGAGCTACCTAAATGTGAGTGAGTCGAGCTAGTTATTCGCGGAATCTCCCCGCATGTTGCAATTCTTCAAAGGCATCCTTTTGTTTTGACACGGACGTTCCAGTCGTTCAATGCATCAACGACAGTGCCGGATACCAAAATCCATCGAACTCCTACCATTTAGTGGTCGCGGAGAGCCCTGCCCGCTGCTCCTTGCGTCCATCTGCGTCGCCGCCTCCGTCGGCACTTATCGACAAGCAGTCCGCTAACCGGGAATGCCGATACGATGGACACACCATTGAATGCATCATGGAACGTACATAGGCGTCGTGGACAAATTAGGTCCAGCGACTATACAGCTACACCCTAGACACTCCAGCCTCATGCATATAGTCGTACACAACCTTCTCACTTTGACTTGGCTTCTCGTTCACTGGGCGCGCGGGGGCCCGCGCCTAATGACATAATCAATTTCCTCCACGGACACTCTGGATCCACTGTTACCTTTTAGAGGACCCGAGACTTCCTCGCGCTCATATACTGCTTCAACAACATCACCCTCGGACATGCGGGAGGTGTTCGTCGCTTGGTCGTTTGGGTTCGCATCCGGAGAGCTGCTGGGGTGGTGTCGTTCCTTGATATGCTTCACAGTGGAGGCCTGCATGTCATCGTAGGTCGCATCAGAGCGGTCTGCCTGAATGTGCATTAGGGTCAGAGAAATATACACTGTGCCAGATGCTAGCTGCAGACCTTCACAGCGGCCTCCGAATTGCTAGAAAGGTATTCATTCCAGCCGGGTGCATCGGGGATGGTAGTGGACGTCTTATGCTGGGAATTGCTCAGGTTACGGTGCTTCTCGGTCTCCAAAACCTATTGAGGATGATTAGCGAACGGCTTTCGAGTCAATGGTAGAATGATTGCACCTCCGGGTCGTTGCCGTGTGCGCTCGAGTAGAATCTGGGTGCGCACGCAGATGTGCTGGGCTTAGGCACTACGGCAGCACGCTTGACGGCGGCACGAGCAGCGAGAGAGATCATGGCGGACATTATGATGTGGTTGTGCGGTTACAAGGAATGCGAGTGCGTTGTTGGGTTGTGGTGAGAGATGATGGAACAAACAGGGAGGCAGTGATTGCAGGTTTTGAAAGAGGCGGGCATATATATGGGCGCGAAGAGGAGGCATGACGTCCGCCGCAGGTGGATCGTGACGTCATAGCGTACTCCCAGCTTGACGCCACCACCCCAGCTTCCTCTTCGCTGAACATGGAGGCAAGGCGCGTCCGCACGGCGCACGGTCTTCGTATGACCGGCCGGCAGTCGTTGGGGTTTAGGCCTGAATGTAGCTCCGAGATAGCAATATTAGCATACAAGGAGCAGCGTACGCCACTCTCGAAACATAGCATGGCGAATATAGCACTTATGCCTTCTCGATTGACCGCGAACAACATGGTGTTAAGTAAACAGCACACTGTTCTAATTGCAGCTCCAAGCCTACGGCCTATAGAGACGCCAAATAGGGAAGGCACATTACCTTTCCGGGAGTTTGCGGTACCCTCGTCATGCCGACGGATTTGATGCGGCACTGACCGTAAAAAGAACATATCACAAAGACAAATAGGCCCTGGGGCGTCATGCATTACCAGCAGAGACGAAACGCTGGAGTCTAGCATACAGTAGCCTAAAAATGAACGATGTGTGCTGATGTCACTCACACTGTCCCCTTATTTCTCAAGACAAGGAAACCTGCTCGCTCATGATCCGCTGTTCATTATCTCTGTGCCTCCCTACGGCATCCAGGACGCGTTGACGAGGTTCCCGTCTCTGCCCGTCTTCACAGATAGCGCGGGCTTGAGCTTCTACTGGTGGTGACGGACGGCCATTGTAAACGAATGTGCCGCAACGATGATCCACGGTAGCAGGGGAAAGAGAATTCCTGCTGAGAGTTGCTCGGGATAGGCTTCATGCCGCGTCGTCGGCCGAGACCGGCGTTAGACCGGATACTTTCGCCTGCGCCGGTTTAAAGGAGGGTAGAAATGAGGATGCTCGCTCATCGCCTGTCGATTGTCAAGTCTTCAGGATACATCCTTTTCAGATGTCGATATTTCCGGAGGGAGTAGAGGGCGAGCGTTTCTACGATCATCGCAAAGAAGGTCAGCATTGGACATATACACAGCGTCAATACAAGTGGGAAAGACGGGGACCCACGCACCATTGCGAATGTATTCACCCAGCTTGAGAGCCTTCTCAATCTCCTCCGGATCGCTCAAGTTTCTATTCTCTGTAGCGCATCGCGGGTAATTGTCAGTTGCCGAGTCCACAGACAGTGCGCACGCACTCACTCTCGTACAATCCGCGCAGCTTTCCGTGGAAGTTGTATCTACTCAGTGGGTGCGCTATCAGACGACCGACGCGGACATCATTGGCACATAAGCACGCACGACGGGTCCGGATATTGTCTGCCAAGTCTGTGGAGCTCTTTGTAGAGCGCAATTGCACGCAGGCGGGTCTGTTTGCTCGCCATGATAGAAAGTGTTCGCGCAGTGAGGTGAGTCGCGTGCGGTGTAGGCTGCAGCGTCGCACTGTCGTCAGTGGACTACGACAGGCGCCCATGATCGATCAGTACGCGGGGCACGTGATGGCGGGATGGTAGATGTCAAGGACCGCGCCGGCCTCGGTCTCTACTCGCTTACCAGTTACCTTTGTCCATTACGCGCCTTTGCAACAGACATGTCCGTCGAGGACTCACAGAAGTGCTACGAGCCGCTCCCCGTGCCGCATATACCAGAGAAGCTGTTGTCCTTCCCGCAGGAGTACACGCTCAAGCCTGGCCAGCAAAAGCCGTTCGATGAGGTGCTGCAGCATTTCCAGGACGAGGACTACGTGCTGCCGAATGTCGAGGATGGGGCTCTGACAGACGAAGAAAAGTTCTGGCTGGTACGTACGTCTGCTCCAGACGCGCCGCGGGGAAACGGTCCAAGCCGCCGATTCAGGCGTCGACTAACTCATCTCAAAGTCATACGAATGCATGCATAGGTATGGCTCTTCTCCAACAACACGACTATGCCGGGATTGCATCTTTCCTTGGCTGTTTAATTTTCCAATAGCTGACTTGCCCACAGATATCTTCGGGCGGTCAAGTGGGCATCCTCCAAGGCGGCTATAAAGCGACTCGAAGAGACCCTCATTTGGCGGCGCGAATTCGGTTTGTACGGCCTCATCACCCATGAACACGTCGAACCCGAGGTACGCCCCTTGTGCTCCCCTAATACACGGAGTCGCTGACAACCTAAGCACAGGCAACGACAGGAAAGGAGGTACTGTTCGGATACGACGTCGACGGGCGACCAGCTCTCTACCTGCGTCCGAGCAGACAAAACACGGGGGATCGATCCGTCAACTGCATTTCCTGACGTGGACGCTCGAACGCTGCGTGGACCTCATGGGTCCGGGAGTCGAGTAAGCCGTCTCCCCGAGCGCGTAGCCGCTTGCCCGGCTAACGCCCAATGGCCCCGCTCAGGAACATCGCGCTCATGGTAGACGTCTC